CACGCCCTACAGCGAAAAACCTCTCAAAAAAAAAAAAAAAAAGAAAGATTATTTTATTTATTATCATCATTATTGTTTGTTTTTAATTTGACCAGAGATAGACAGAGAGAGAGAGTAAGAAAGCAAGCCACCAGGACCAACACTTGAACCATGGTTGGCCATGTGAGAGTCCAGCACCTTTAACTACCATGCCACCTGCTGGCCCCTCTTGGTGTTCTTTTTAAATGGAGGGAATATCTGCATTCAGTGAAAGACACAGATCTTTTTTTTTTTTAATTTTTTGGAGAGGTTTTTTTTTCACTATAGGGCGTGTGCGCTCGCCAGACAGACAGAGAGAGACATAGAGACAGAAAGCGAGAAATCACCCCCCAGGGGGGATGGTCATGCCATAATCCCTTCTCCTCCATTCTCCTCTCGGGATCTTGGGCACGCATGCACACGTGCCCGGCGTGAGTTTTAAGCCACCAGGTCCGGGACGTGAACCGCGGTCAACTACGTGGGAGTCCAGTGACATAGCCATTACGCTAACTGCTGGTTCCCAAAGACACAGATCTTAATGGTACAATTCACTGAGTTTGACAATGAGGCAAGGCGGTTTTGAGGCCTCCAGTGAAGGATGAAGAGCAGGGGTGAATGACTTACTTTTTTTTTTGGAGAGGTTTTTCGCTATAGGGCGCGTGTGCTCACCAGATAGACAGAGAGAGACATAGAGACAGAAAGCGTGAAATCACCCCCCAGGGGGGATGGTCATGCCATAATCCCTTCTCCTCCATTCTCCTCTCGGGATCTTGGGCCTGCACGCACACGTGCCCAGTGTGAGTTTTAAGCCACCGGGTCCGGGACGCGAACCGCGGTTGATTATGTGGGAGTCCAGTGACATAGCCATTACGCTAACTGCTGGTTCCCAATCACTTACTTTATCCAAGAATCCGTTTTCCATATCTGACTGGGGCTGAACTTGAATGGACCCTGGGCACAAAGCGCTGTGGTTAATCAGGATCAGGAACCAGGTCTGATGCCCACTGACTGGCCCGCGTATGGCCATACAGGTTTCCCCAGGGGCTGGAGGACGTGTCCACATACCCGGTACTGATAGAGGAGTTGCTGAGTCGTGGCTGGAGTGAGGAAGAGCTTCAGAGTGTTCTTCGAGGGAACCTGCTGCGGGTCTTCGAACAGGTGGAACAGGTATGCAGAGCTGGGCAAGAGAGTAGCTCTGGGCTCTGAGCAGCGTCAGGCAGAGTCATACTTACTGCTGACCACTGCCTGCCACCTATAGGTACGGGAGCAAAACAAGTGGAAAAGCCCCTTGGAGGCCAAGCTCCCAGATGAGCAGCTGGGCAGCTCTTGCCGCTCTGTCTTCCTGCATCTACATAAAGGACAGGATCCAGTTCCAGACCAGAAACTAAATGAGACACATCAGACACCTAAGTTATCACCCATGTGGTCACTCTCAAAGTCCTCCCCTCGCCTGACCCTAGGCCTTGCAGTGGTTGCTGCATTCCCAGCCCTTATCCTGTGGCTCAGTTAGTCCAGTCAATCAGCATTATCGCAGCCATGGAGATCCCACAAAATTCTCCTCTTGTGCAGGCACAAACGTTTTCTGAAAATAAATGTTTTGGACATGAGACCCGTCGTGAGTGTCCTCTGTAGTAGGGTTTGGTGGCTCAGGCTCCTAATACCTGTGGTTGGCCACCAGTTGCTCCAGGAAGACCTTTGGCAGTGGCCTGAGAAAACCCACATGGTTGGGATCAGCACGGGACAAAGGCTATGGATAGATCTGGCTGTGGAAGGTGGACCCTATTCTGTGTTCCTTCTGAGTAGCGTACTTCAGTCCATCTACTGGCACATTAACTACCACCTGAGGATCTTTCAGGGAATTGTGGTTCAGATTTCTAGAAGATCAACCTGCCTGGATCATGAATGACCCCCACCCACTAGGCCATAGGTCTGGGCCAAAAGCAAGCAGATTTATTTTTGGAGATATTTTTGCTGTAGGGTGCATGCACTCACCAGACAGAGATGGAGGGAGAGAAAGTGAGAAATCACCTCTGGGGAGATGGCCACACCACAATCCTTTCTTCTCTATTTCCATTCTTCTCTTGGAATTTTGGGTACATGTGCATACATGCCCAGCATGAGTTTCAAGCCACTGGACTCAGGACTCAAACTGCAGTTGGCCATGTGGCTGTCCCATGCCTTAATCACTACATCACCTGCTGCCCCCAGCAGTCATATTTTTTTCACATGTATAATTTATTTAATTCCATTAGTTGTTATTTTTTATTCTGACCAGAAAAAGACAGAGAGAGAGAAAGAAAAGGAGAGGGAGAAAGCAAACCACTGGGTCTGGGACTCAAACCATGGTTGGCCTGTGGGAATCTACTGCTCTTAACCACCATGCCACCTGCCGACCCCCCCAGCAGTCATATTGTTAAAATATCAGATTATGGACCAACAGTACAGTGTTAAACCAATTCGGAGGGAGCCAGATCCCACGTGACCAATTATGGATTGAATCCTGGCCACGGCAGATTAAAAAACACAACGGGTATGTGTGTATGCCCTGCATCTTAACAGGATGGAGAGATGGAGAAAGGGGTATTGTGGTGTGACCAGACCCCATTAGGGGTCACTTCCTATCTCTCTGGTACACATACTTATCTCTTCAGTGCCCTCTGGCATATAAAAAAACACAAAGGGCTGGCCTCATGGCTTAGTGACTAAGGGAACTAGATCCCATATGGCTGACTGTGTTTCCAATACTACCCTGATGGTTTGCAAAACACCCTAGAGTGGGGGCCGGCAGGTGGCATGGTAGGTAAAGGTGCTGGACTCTCACATGGCTGCCCACAATTCAAGTTGTGGACCTGACGGCTTGCTTTCTTACTCTCTCTCTCTCCCTCTCTGTCTCTCTCTCATCTAATTAATTAATTAATTAATTAAAGCTAAAAAAAATTTTTTAGCAGTTTCTGCTATAGGGTGAGAGTGTTCACCATAAAGACAGAGAGAGACAGAGACAGAAAGGGAGAAATCACCCCCCAGGGAGGATGACTATGCCACAGTCCCTTCTCCTCCATTCTCCTCTTGGATCTTGGGCATGCATGCACATGCACCCAGCATGTTTAAGCCACCAGGTCTGGGACTCGAACCATGGTCAGCTACATGGGAGTCCAGCGACATAGCCATTATGCCAACCGCTGACCTCAAATCATGTAATAAACTTAAAAAAACAAAAGAAGGCCCTCACCAGATGTGGCCCCTTGATCAAATAACCCAGACTGATATTTCTGTTATTAATTTTTTTTTTTTGGAGAGGTTTTTGCTATACGGCAGGTGTGCTCGCCAGACAGACAGAGACAGACAGAAAGCGAAAAATCACCCCCCAGGGGGGATGATCACACCGCAATCCCTTCTCCATTCTCCTCTTGGGATCTTGGGCACATGCACACACGCCCAGCATGAGTTTAAGTCACCAAGTCCACGACTCGAACCGCAGTCCACTACATGGGAGTCCAGTGACATAGCCATTACGCTTTAGCAAAAACCTCTCAAAAAAAAAAAAAAAAAAAAAAGACCAGTGAGTAGGTAACCTTCTTCTCAAGATGGCCACTAGTAACTAACATTTGGTGTTTACTGAGAGTTGGGGGGAGCTTCTGAAAGTTCTCAAAAGCTGGAAAAATGGAATCAAAGTACAGTTTATTTTGGTGCAAACTTTTAAAAAAATCTGTGTTTTTTTCAAAATATGCATTTCCCGTGAATTTTTGAAGCCCCTCCCCCATATATTCTTCTAGGGCCTTTTTTCTTTGTGTATATTAATGCGCGTACAGAATCAAAATCAATTCTAATTGCCAAAATGTGGTTTTCCATAAATATTGTTTTTAAACTTCATTTTCATTTTAGCAACCTATAGGGAATCTTTTTGTCAGAAGGGCTCGTGTGGTCATAAGAGTGCGAGGGCAGGGAAAAGGAGAGAGAGAAAGTGAGAAGGCACTCCCAGCGGGGATGGTCACTCCTCCATTTTTCCCTCCTCTGGGGGTTTTGGGCCTGCTCCGCTTTCTCAAACCATAGGGATTTGCTGTCGGCCATGTAGGAGTCAGCCTCCCAAACCATCACACCACAGCTGACCCGAGAAATGTTCTGTTAGTCACAACATACAGATCGAATTCACTCTTCTGAGCTGGAGTTTAGAATTACAAAGATATTTGATCAGTTTGAGGGGCAGGGCACACCCATGCAGCTAACCCCTTATGTGGGCCTGCCTAGGGGGTGCGATTGGGAAGATCCCTGGGTCCCTGTCGGTTCCCTCTCTGGCCTCCTCCTCCAGCCTGTCGTCCACCCAGTGAAAGGCAAGGGTAGGTGGACGGGCAGGGCCAGGGTAGGGGCTTAGGGAACTCAGGGGCGTTCGTAAACCGGTGCACTCTGCCAGCAAAGCCTGGCGGAACCGTGGGGGCGCCCTTCTACTTGGGGGCGGAAGAGCCCTGGCGCCCCCTGGCGGCGGCGCTGCGCGGCGTAGTAAATCCCAGCGCGTAGGCGTTAGACTGCAGCCCTTCGCCTGAGGCCATACTGCTGAGTCACCTCCATCGACGGTCTATACCCCACCGTCATCCTCTGCCCTTCGCCTGCCCTTCTTAGGCTTCTGCGACCAGGCTCTGTGCAGCATGAAGCCCGTGAGCCTCAAGGGTCCGTACGTGCTCGGCCGACAGCCTTTGCTGCTCTTGCTTCTGCTGTTGCTGCTACCCCAGCCGGTGGCTCGCGCCCAGACCACGCCGGGTGCCCCCATTGCCCTGGGCACCCACAGTGCTCCTACCACGCCGAGCACCCCCATTGCCCTGGGCCTGCGAGAACGAGTGCTGGCTCTGATGCGAGACTTTCGGCTGGTGGACGGGTGGGTAGATGCAATTCGTGAGTGAGTGGGAAGGGGCCCTGAGCATACACGGCTGGTAAGGACATTCCCTCACACCACCCCTGGATGTTCTCCCCTGTATCACCCATGGGTGCCCTCACTCCTCACCACCTGTTCCTAGTGGTACTCCCCCCACCCCCAATCTGGCTTCAGAAGGGGGAAATACCGTCTTTGTAACAAGGGGCCTGGTGGGTGGGGGTGGGGGAGAGTCCTAGCATGTTGATATATCCTGTCAGACCTAACTTGACATTCCAAACCCCCAGACATAACGACCTGCCCTTGATCCTGAGGCAACTTTTCCAGAACAAGCTACAGAACGTTAACCTGCGTAATTTCAGCCATGGCCAGACCAGCCTGGACAGGCTTAGAGATGGCCTTGTGGGTGCCCAGGTATGAGAGGGATACACAGGTGCCACAGCATGGCAGCTGGGGAGTGTTGGGGTCACAGATACTTGGGTATGCCAGCCTCCGGGTGACTAAGTACTGTGGAGCATGCAGCGTGCCGTCATGTAGCTATTAGGTAGTGTGGGGGCCCTGGAGGCCAAGACAGGCCAGCTGCGTAGGAGCCTAGGTTCTGTGGAGACACGTGCAAAATGACCAGAAAGTCTCTGGTGAGTGTAGGGGCTGCTGAAACCACAAGGATGTGGACTGGCCTTGGGGCATTCACATGGGACATGGACAACTAGCAGTCTATAATGTGTCATGAGTCCACAGTTTGGCTGCTGGCAGCAAGCTTACTAACCCTCAGGGTACCATGGGGTCATTTAGTGCCTTGTTTGGGGCCACTCACTTGGATGGGTGCTGTGGAGGTCAAGGCAGAAGTGGTAGGCCTAGTGGGTTGGAGACCACTCTGGCCTCATTCTGGAACCCTGGACTTGCTCCCAGTTCTGGTCAGCCAGTGTCCCATGCGAGACCCAGGACCGAGATGCTGTGCGCCTTGCCCTGGAACAGATTGACCTCATTCACCGCATCTGTGCCTCCTACTCTGAACTGGAGCTTGTGACCTCAGCTGAAGGTGGGCTGGAGGGTGGGCAGATGCTCAGGGGCTCAGGTGGTTCTGTCCTTGGCCTCCAGCCACGTGACTCTCCACCTTTTTCTAGGGTTGAACGGCACTCAAAAGCTGGCCTGCCTCATTGGTGTGGAAGGTGGTCACTCACTGGACAGCAGCCTCGCTGTGCTGCGTACTTTCTATCTGCTAGGAGTACGCTACCTGACGCTTACCTCTGCCTGCAGTACACCCTGGTGAGCACAATGGCTGGCCAGGGTGAAATGGTAGATGATGTGGTGAGAAACTGTACCATCCCTAGGAGGGGCTTAACCAGAGAGGTGAAGATGGGTCCATGAAAACAGGCTGGACTCCCAGCAGGTCCCTCACACACCAGAAGTAGCTGGCCCTGGATTCTCACCTGTTCTACAGATGGGATGCATGGCCAGATAGAGGGCCCTCTGGTGGCCACTGTGTGGCCTTCTAGATTATCCTTCCCCGACTGTTCTACAGGGCAGAGAGTTCCACCAAGTTCAGACACCACGTCTACACCAACATCAGTGGATTAACAACCTTTGGCGAGGTGAGGACTTCTGTGCTGTACTCTACCCCACCTGTTCCCAAAAGATATACACACACATCTTTGTAGCTCTGACACTAACCTCTCCACCCCCCCCCCCAAATTATCCCTGCAGAAAGTGGTAGAGCCCCCCCCCCAAAATTATCCCTGCAGAAAGTGGTGGAGGAAATGAACCGCCTGGGCATGATGGTAGACTTGTCCTATGCATCACATACCTTGATGGGGCGAGCCCTGGAGGTATCAAAGGCTCCTGTGATCTTCTCCCACTCAGCTGCCAAGGCTGTGTGCGACAATTTGCTGAATGTACCTGATGACATCCTGCAGCTTCTGGTGAGTGGTTACTCCAGCCCTCAAACCCAGAACTAGGCATGCTTTATTCGAAGGTTCTTGACCTTGAACAAAGAAAACTACTAGCCCAGAGCTCACATGGCCTTGGACCCAAAACTTTTTAACCTTCCTCCATCTTGGAAACTCAGGGCCAGTTCAGTTCCACCCAAGGACCCTCAAACCCAGAGAGGTGCATCCTCTTCCAGCCCCTGAGGCCAGGTCTTAGTGTTGTCCAACCAGGAACCCCACAGCATGGGAGGCATGCCATTGGGCTATAAAGGTCAAGCTGAGTGTCCCTTTGTCTATCTCTGTAGAAGAAGAATGGTGGCATCGTGATGGTGACACTGTCCATGGGCGTGTTGCAGTGCGATCTGTTTGCTAATGTGTCCACCGTGGCAGGTAAGCCCCATCTCAGCCCTATGTGTGCTCTGTCTCAGGCTCTGGCCACTGGGGCCCTTTGATAGCTCTCGCAGTCTAGAGCACCTGTTGTGCAATGGACAGGCTTCCTGACAACCCAGAGATGGCAGAGACAGCTCTTCATTGCCATGCAGATCCGAGGTCACATGTCAATGCTAATTGGTTTGATGCTTCTGCCTCTGAGTCTCATTTTTGCTCCCAATCCTTGAACCTCTCTCATTCCCCACATTTCTAGGTAGGATAGGCAGAACTTCTAGCAGGGTCTCAAGGAACCTGGAGGCAGGAAACGGTCCAAAGGGGTGGCTCTGAGGTCCATTTGAGACCCAGTGTCCAACCTATAGCCACTCAGGACCCATGACTGGCCATGAGCCAACTGCCATGGCCTGGAGTGCTGTGAGCAGGGACATTGGCCAGAGATGAGCTTCCTCAGATCAGTGCTGGTCTGAGAGTCTTACTCCAGCCTAGTGCTGCCCATCACTAACCTCCATGCCCTAGATCATTTTGACCACATCAGAGAAGTCATTGGATCTGAGTTCATTGGGATTGGTGGAAATTATGACGGGTTTGGCCGGTGAGTATTCCCTGGGGTTTTGCTTATGCCGGGGTATAGCACGGAGTCCTTTAGTCTTAGTCCTCTTTCTGGGGTCCTCCCATCCTATAAACCTCAACCACGGGTTCTGGTTTTGTAGTCCATTCAGGCTCAGGATTGTTTCCCGAGTTCTCCCCATCCCTTCTGTGGCCTAGGGGACCCACTCCAAGTCATCACATCTGCAGAATACTCCCCTCTCCCAGGTCGAGCTCATCTCTGTCATAGCCCAGCAGATCTGTCGTGGAATGACTGACTGCCCAACCGATAAAGGCTACAGCAGCCCAGTCCTCAAGGAGTTCCTAAAGTTGGATTCAGTAGCCTGAAGAATTTAGCCTTCAGTTTTTCATGTGTGACTGGGGCTGGTGGGACAGCAGGATCAGGGCTTAGGTCCCACAGCTAGCCCATGGGTTGCCACACAGGTTCCCCCAGGGATTGGAGGACGTGTCCACATACCCAGTACTGATAGAGGAGTTGCTGAGTCGTGGCTGGAATGAGGAAGAACTTCAGGGTGTCCTCCGAGGAAACCTGCTGCGGGTCTTCAGACAAGTGGAACAGGTACACAAGGCCTGGTCAGAAGGATTTTTTTTTAGTACTTTGAGCAGGTGAGGGGGTTGCTGTGGGAGCTTCTGATTGCTGATGCCCACCCCCAGGTGAGAGAAGAAAACAGTGGGCAGAGCCCTGTGGAGGCCGAGCTTCCAGACGGGCATCTGAGCTTGCCCTGCCACTCCCACCTGCCTGAGCCTCAGAGCGAACACATGGCTACAGTCCTGGATGTGACCAAGTGGCCAACCAATCCTGTGCTCGAGAGGCCCTCAAAAGCCTCCCCACACCTCGTACCAAGCCTCCTGACTGCTGCCACCTTCCCAGTCCCCATCCTGTGGCTCTGGTGACCTGGCTGGTCTTCGTAGAAGTCATTGTAACCGAGTCCCACAAAGTTCCCTCCTAATCATCCAGCCACAAGCATATGCTGAGAATAAATAATTCAGGCGTGGAGCCAGGTGTGAGTGTCCTTTCTTCATGGCAGGAGTGGGGTCAGGTGGGCACTTGGCTGGTAGGGGGTCTTGTGGTCTAGCCCAAGCTCCTCAGGAGTAGGGAGTGGGAGTGGCTCAGTCTGGCTCTTCCCCAGAGGGGCCCTGGTGGTGTGAATACCACCAGGTGTGAATACTAGGCACCAGTACCCGCAGTGATTCCATACCCTGGGGAAGGTCTGATTTCTGTGTGACCTTGGGACAGGGCTGCCCTCTCTCTGAGCCCCAGAGAACATACTTATGAAATGGTGGAAACATGCTTTCACTTCTTGGGACCATCTGTGGGCTTCATGAGATAGGTAAGCTGGACCAGGCTGCTAAGGTTTATGTCCCCAAAATTCATGTATTGAGCCAGTGTAATGGAACCAAGAGAGTGGAAAATCAGTGTCAAAAGGTGGGGTCTTTGGGAAGAGATAAGGATTAAGATCATTAGGATGGTAGGGGCCCCATGATTGAGTTCTGGTTGCTCTTTTTATATTTTAGGTTTTTGCCATGGGGCACATGAACTCCAGAGAGAGAGAGGAAAAGTGAGAAATCTCCCATTGGGGGGATAGTCATATTGCAGTCCATTCTCCTCCTGGGATTTTGGGCATGCACACACATGAACCCAGTGTGATTTTCAAGCTACCAGGTCTAGGACTCAAAATGCAATCAGGGGGCCAGCAGGTGGTGTGGTGGTGGTTAAAGGTGCTGGACTCCCACATAACCGACCATGGTTCAAGTCCTGGACCTGGCAGCTTGCTTTATCACTTTCTCTCTCTCATGTGTGCTTTCTTCCTCTCTGGTCAAATTAAAATAAGAAATTTGGGTCCAGCAGGTGGCATGGTGGTTAAGGCACATGGCTGACCACGGTTTGAGTCCCAGACCTGGTGGCTTGCTTTCTCACTTTCCCTCTCTCTGGTCAAATTAAAATAAATGAATAAAAAAAAAAATTCTTTAAAAAAATTAAAAAATTAAAAATAAATAAAGTTAGATAAAGTAATTAAAAAAAAATGCAGTCAGCCACATGGGAACCAATACCTTAACCACCAAGCCAACTGTTGGCCCTGTTCTCATGGGTCTTTGGGAGAGAGAATGAAACCAGAACAGACAGACTCATGGACCTCTGTACTGCTATTTCATAATATGACTAGGACTCTGCAAGACATCAACCAGCTATGGCCCCTGGACCTCCGACCTCCAAACCATGTACTAAATAAACCTCCACTTTAATACATGACGTGGTCTCAGTTTTTTCTAGTCACACAGACGCAGATTAAGACATAGACATTAGGAAGGAGAGCTGGATGTGAGGTGGAAGACAGCCAGAATGAACACAGGATAAACTGTGACTGCCGGATGTCCATTTGGGGGAAAGAAGTCCCATTTTATTCCATATAGTGTGTAAACATACAAAATAAAATTAATTTGAGTGTGTTACTGATGCAAATATAAAAGGTAAAAGAATAAAATGCCAAGGTAGTGTAGGAAAATAATACACTTGTGACCTCAGCATAGGATATGAATAGGATATGATTGGGTCATCCTGGAAATGTATTCTCCAGTCCCAGCCAATGGTATGTGGAGTACAGATGACTTCTACTCAGTTTGCACATTGTGAGCAAGCATGTTATTCTGGTGGTTGGTTGCTGTAAGCCACGATGTTTTAGGGTGTTTTGTTTGTTTGTCTGTTTGTTTTAGAGATTTTTTACTCTAGGATGTGTGCACTCTCTGGAGAGGGTAAGACAGAAAGTGAGAAATCATTCCCCAGGGGAGATGGCCATGCTGCAATCCCTTCTCAGCTCTCCTCTCAGGATTTTGTGCATGCACTCACAGGAGCTCAGCATGAGTTTCAAGCTGCTGGGCCTGGAGTGTGAACTGCAGTTGACCTCGTGGGAGTCCAGCAACATAACCGTCATGGCATCTGCTGGTCCCGTAGAATGGTTTTTAAAATTAGCTACAAGGCAAATGCACTCACCAAACAGAGAGACAGAGACAGAGGAGGGAAGTGAAATCCCTTGGGGGGATGACCATGCTGCAATCCGTTCTCATCCATTCTCCTGGGATTTTGTGCATGCATGCACATATGCCCGGGGTGTTTTTCAAGCCACTGAGTCTGAGACTCAATTACTCTTTCAGCCATGTGGGATCAAGTCACCTTTACCTTCACAACACCAGCAGGCCCTGGGGTGATTTTTTTTATGTAGGTAGATCATTGAAATAGTTCTGTTTGCCTGACTGGCCCTGTAGCATAGCATTTAAGCCCTGTGCAGAGGAAGTCAGATCCTATATGGTTCAAATCTTGGCCTCGTGGCTTGAAAAACACACCCGGCATCAGCACATGTGTTCAGGATTCTGAGAGAATGAAGAAGTGGAACAAAAAGGATTGTGGAGTGACTAGGCTCTGTTGGGGGGAGCTTGCTTTCTCTCTATATATATATCCTCTGACAAAAAATATTATTACCTTAGATTTTTGTTTCTTTTTATATAGTTTTACATTGCCAATAACCTCCCTTATCTTTTGTAATATGGTTATTAGAGTAATTTTGAATTGAACATGTCCTGCCACTCCCAGCTCCTGCCTCAGTCTCAGATTTCTAATTATTTTTTTATTGCTGGAGGGCATGTTGGCTTGTGAGTGAGCCAGTGAGTGAGAGAGACAGGAAGCACCCCACAATGGAGTGTGGTCATGTCACAATCCTTTTACCTCCATTTCTGCATTCTATCAGGATTGGGGGGACACATGCACGTGCACTCTATGTATTTTTCAAGCCACTGGGGCCAGGATTTGAATCATAGTAGACCATGTGGGATCTAGCTGCCTCTACTCAGTGCTTAACTGCTGAGCTACATGGCACATGCACTCCCTGGAGAGAGAGAGAAAGCACCTCCCCGGGGGCAGGCCATGCCACACTCCCTTCTCTTCCATTTTCCTCTAGGACATTGGGCATGTATGCACACACATATTCCCAGCACGTTTCTCAAGCTGCCGGGACTTGAACCATACAGTGGGCCAGGTTAGATCCAGCTGCCTTAATCACATCTACCTCAGATCTCCTGGATAAGGGGTTTGGCGAGTGAGAATGGGAGTAGACGCCAGCATTGCATACCCTGTAGACAGCGGGTGGTGCCCTGAAACTCGTCTGAGAAGGTGAAAGCAGCTGGACCGGAGTATGGCCAGGGATGCCTTGCAGAGGTCAGCAGGGCCAGATCCAGCCGGGCCTTGTGGCCTGATAGCAGAGTCAGGGTTTTCTCTACAGAAGAGGCGGCTCTCTGGAGCAGGGGAGAGAGCAGCGAGTCCAGTTGGAAGGCTGCTACAGTGGGCAGCTGAGGGTGGCGTGAGGGGCGGGAGCCCGGCCGCGGTGGCTGTGGGGGGAGGGGCCAGGTGAGGGCCTGCTGGAGTGGTGGTGGGGTGGGTCGTCAGGCCGGCAGGGGCCGGCTACTGGGATCAGATCAGAACTGGAGGCTGGGAGGAGGGCACAGAGCCTGCTGTTGGTCGGGAGGATACCCGCTGTTCTGATGTGCTAAAGCGGTATGAGATATAAAAGGGAGAAGAATGGAGATAGACAAGCAAGATGGACTCTGGGGTTTTCTGATAGAGAAAGAAATAGCTGAAAGGACTGCCCAGAAAGATAAAGGCGCAAAGTAAAGCCAACTGGATAAGTTATCTGAAGCAGGGCGTAGAGTGAAAGAAAAGTTTGCATCAAGTAAGTAAATGACTTGGGTAAAAGCAACCCCAGGGGGTGAGAAGTAAAAGAGAAAGTAAAAATGAGAGGACTTGGCTAGAGCACCCAGTGTGCTGTCCCAAAGCGGAAAATGAGGTCGGGGTGGTGGTGAGGGGGCAAGAATCTCCAGATGCCTCCAACTGGAGAGGCTGCAGCGAGAGGGCGCAGGGCTCAGGGCGCAGGGCACCGGGGCTTCGCGGGGGCTCGGCTTCCAGGGATGCACTTTCAAGGAGTAGGAGACAGATGATGGACACGGGGATGGGGTATCCAGGAATGGCGGGAGACCCTGGGCAGGGCTGGAGCGATCTCTACGGCCCTGAGTCGATCCTGCCTACCCTTCCCGTCCCTGAGTGACAGAAACGCAACCAAGCGCTTACTAGGCCCAGGGCACAGTCATTGCACTCGGCGCCCCATCTCACGAAGTCCTGATGCAGCCCCAAGAGGTGGAAACGCGTTTCCTCCATTTTACAAGTACAGCATCTGGGGCTCAGAGAAGGCGGCCCCTTACCCAAGGACACACAGGAATCGGGCCCTCCCCAAGGGCGTGTGGCCACTAGGAACGCTCCCCACCAAGGGGTCTTCGGGCCACACTGGCCCCCCCTTGGGGAGGAGCCGACCCGGAGCCCCTCCTGCTCCCCGCCCCCGAGGGGCGGCCCGGGGGGCGGGCGGAGGAAGTGAGCGCAGCGGGGAGGAATGCGAGCGGGCGGGGCGCGCCGGCCCGGGGCGGAGGGGACAACCGGCTGGCGGCCCGGACGGCGGGCGCGGCGAGACCGAGCGCACGCGATGCCTCACTTCACTGTAGTGCCGGTGGACGGGCCGCGGCGCGGCGACTACGACAACCTCGAGGGACTCAGTTGGGTGGACTACGGGGAGCACACCGAACGGGAAGACTCGGACGGTGAGGGCGCGCCTGGAGGGGGCCTTGGCGGGACCAGGGGCTGGCCACGCGGGGCCCGCGCCCGCGCACACATTCACTGGATCTTGCACGCACGCACACGTCGATGCAGGCTCAACTTTTCTTCGTCTGCCTGGCCACTACCAACTCCCTACTCCGCGCGCACCGACACGATTTTCCTCGGCCTGGGACACCCGCGGCCGGGCCGTCCTCCCCACCCAGTACCTCCCCTGCGGGGCGCGGGCGGGGGCTGCAGACGTGGCCCAGGGAGGCCAGCCAGGAGGACCGCCTGGTTTGGGAATAGCGCCGAGCCGGGTCTCCCGCCCTTCCCGGCTGGGAGCACTGTGGAAGTCCCTTTT